TCGCGGGGGGGGGATCGGGGGGGGAGCGGCATCTGGGCAGGGCATGGGGGTCCCGAGCAGTGGCGGGGGACAAACAAAACCACTGCCTGGGCCCCCCTCCCCGCCCAGTCCAGGGGATGGGGCAGCCCTGGATCCGAACGGCAACGTATCGAACCGGGATGGGGGTCCAGCCCCTCACCAGGGAGTGTCCCCACTGCAGGAGACCCCCACCCCCTGCCCAGGGGCCCCCCGCTGGCACAGGGGACTGGGGGGGGTCATCACAGCGATGCCTCGGGGGTCTGGGGTGAAATCCCCCCCAGCCCCGCGCTGGAGCCTTCCCGGGGGGGGCCATGGGGGGCCGTGCGGTGCCGGGGACCCCCGTCGTGCTGGGGACCCCCCCGAAGAACGGCTGAGCCCAGCGTGGGGGACAGTCCTTTATTTCGGGCAGTGCCCGACCCGCGGGCACCGGGGGGGGTGGGGTGAGGGGACGGGACCCGCGGGTGGGGGTCCTGCGGTTCCCTTGGGCAGCCAGAAGCCCCCCAGGGGACGTGGTGGCATCAGGACCAAGCAAGGCACTGCCCCCCCGCCCCGCAGAGCTGGACCCCTGCCCTGGCAGGGCTCCCGGGGGGCTGGGGGGGGGGCCACCCCGGCCCCTCCTGTGCACCCCGCAGACCCCCCAGTGTGGGGCCCGACGGTCCGCACCCCCCGTGCCACCCCCGTGCCCGTGTGCCACCCACTCCCTGGGGTTCGGGGGTGCCGGTGCCCGGTTCCTGTGCCCTCCCGGTTCTCCTGGGGGTGCAGGGGGTGCTGGTTCCGATGTACCAGAAGTGTGTGTGCCCCGGGGCTGTGCCAGGGTTCGGGGGGTACCAGTCCCGACTCCTGTGCCCCCCAAGCTTTCCCAGTGCCGGTGCCCGATGCTGATGCCCAATTCCTGTGCCCCTCTCCTGTTCTCCCGGGGGCTCCGGGGATGCCGGTGCCCAATTCCGGTGCCGGCCCGTGTTCCCCTGAGGGCACGGCCACAGCACCCCCCTGGGCCCTCTCCCAGTGCCCCACAGTCCCAACAGCCCCCCGTGTCCGCACGGCCCGGCCCCCCCTGTTGTCCCCATGGCCCCCCAGTGTCCCCACGGCCCCAGCGCTCCCCGGGCTCCCCGCGCTGGAGAACCCGCATTGCCCCAGCGCTGCCGAGCCCCTCATTGTCCCCATGAGCCCCCCGGGTCCCCCGAACCCTCCCAGGGACCCCCCGGAACCCCCCCGTCCCGGTGCCCCCAGCCCCGCCCACCCGCCGCCAGCAGCCAATGGGAGCCCAGTGAGGGTGAAGGGGGCGGGAACACTGGGTGTCGGGGCGGGGCCTACTGGGGGCGGGGTTTGTGGCGGAGTCTCCGTTGGTCAGCGGGGGGTGGGCGGGGCTTGCGAGGAGGGGCCATTGATGTACAGAGGGGGCGTGGCCTCCACAAGGGGGCGTGGCCTCCGTAGTTCCCAGGCGGGGCCCGGGGGCGGTCCAGCCCCTTTCCCGATCCCGTTCCCGGTCCCGTTCCCGTCCCGGTGTCATTCCCGGTCCCCCCCAGCCCCGCAGAGGCGCAGCGGCAGCGCAGCCAACTTTACTGGGAGCCGTCCCGTCCCGCCGGGCGCGCCCGCCCCGGCCCCGACCCCCGCGCCCCCCGCGCCCCCCGGGCCGAGCCCGCGGCCCCGGGAGCCCCCGGTCACGGTCCCGGTGCCGGTCCCGGCCAGTGGCCGCGGCCGTGGGCGCGCAGGCGGCGCAGGCGCTGCCGCCGCAGCCGCAGGGTTGGGTCGGGGGCCGGGCGGGACCCCCGGGGCCGCCCCCGCGCCCGCTCCAGGCGGAAGCTGCAGGGGGTCGGAACGTTCTCGAAGGACACCCAGCACGACCGCGTGGCCGCCTCGTAGCCCTCGGCCCGCGCCGTCACCTCGTACTCGCCGGGGTTCAGCAGCCGCCAATAGTCCCCGTCCACGGCTGGGGGGGGGCAGGTGCCCCGGGGGGTCACACACCCGTCCCGTCCCTGTGCCCATCCCTGTCCTTGTCCATATCTCTGTCCCCAGCCCTGCCCCATTCCTGTGCTCATCCCCAGCCCCATTCCATTCCCATCCCCAATCCCATCCTTGTCCCATCCCTGTTCCCAACCTCTTCCCATTCCATCCCTGTTCCTATCCCCATCCCCATTCCCAGTCTAATCCTATTTCCACTGCCATCTGCAAATCCCATCCCCTTCCCATCCCTGACCCCAGCTCTATCCCATTCATATCCACAGTCCCATTCCAGTCCCATCCCATCCCCATTCCCATCCACAATCCCATCCCATTCCCAGCCCTGTTCTTTGCCCTCATCCTCATCCCCAGCCCCCTCCCATTCACACCCCCAATCCCATTCCTGTCCCCTTCCCATCCCCTTTCCCAGTCTTATCCTATTTCCATCCCCATTTGCAATCCCCAATCCCATCCTTGTCCCATCCCTGTTCCCAACCTCTTCCCATTCCATCCCTGTTCCTATCCCCATCCCCATTCCCAGTCTAATCCTATTTCCACTGCCATCTGCAAATCCCATCCCCTTCCCATCCCTGTCCCCAGCTCTATCCCATTCATATCCACAGTCCCATTCCAGTCCCATCCCATCCACAATCCCATCCCATTCCCAGCCCTGTTCCTTGCCCTCATCCTCATCCCCAGCCCCCTCCCATTCACACCCCCAATCCCATTCCTGTCCCCTTCCCATCCCCTTTCCCAGTCTTATCCTATTTCCATCCCCATTTGCAATCCCCAATCCCATCCCATCCTCAAATCCCATCTCATTCTTCTTCCTGTCCCCATCCCTGTTCCCTGTCCTCGTGCCCACCCCATTCACATCTCCAGTCCTATTCCTGTTCCCAACCCCATTCCCATCCCGATCCCCTTGCT